ATTTTTTTTTAAATCGATGTCTCGCGATTAAAAAAAAACAATTAGCGTATTTTCAAATGCCTATCGTTAATAATTATTGGTCTTTCAACAGTCCGATAATTATTTATCTTTAAACTTCCTTTAATTATCAACTTTATTTTTTTATTGTATCAAAGGTAAGTGCATAAACTTATATACTGTTTATCAAAGATCAAAAACAAATTTATTTAAATATTCTAAAATTGCTTGAACAACAATTATTTTCAAAATATGTTGAAAATTAGTAATTAATTAATTAATTAATTAATTATTAACTTAATCATCATTTCTTTTGTGATTAAAGTATAATTCAAATATTATTTACTGTTTAAAATATAAGCAAATGAGAAATTAATTCAATATATTACAAAAATACAAAATTATAATACAAAAATTCGACCAATGTTTAAACATGCACCAGAGCTCTCCTAAATGACGGATTCGAATTTTTCAAAAAGTGTTTGAAAGCTTGAGAGCCCTTCTATATGTGATTAAATTTTCAAGTATCTAAGGGCTTTGGTTTCTGCTGTGCAAAATTTTGAAAACTTTTTTTCAAAATCTGGATTGCAAAATTATTATGCAAAATCTATAGAACCGATTTTGACGAAATTTGGTGTGATGATTCTACATAACTTGAGCCAAATATGGAGGTCCTACACCCAACTTAAAGACCCCAAAAAAATTTCTTAAAAAGTAGTTTTTTAACCCCAATTTTGGCGATTTTTTCGATTTTTACAACAATAATCATGATTCATTTGATTTGTAACTAGTCATATTTTGTAAAATTTAATTACAAACATTTTTTTTCCTCTTCCATTTTTGCCTAAAATCAACGTTTGAAAAGATATGTCTCTTAAATAGGGAGAAAAATATGACATTTTTCGAATTTTTTTAACATATTGTGCCGCCAAAAGTTAAGCCCACGTTTTTTTTTTATGCGCATAGAAAAATTTTCATTTCTAGTGATATTTAAAGCCAAAAAGCCAAAAATCTCCGTGGATATACGATTCACCCAAATATGGACTCTTTGAAACAGATACCGTCTGGACTATGTGGATACGAGTATCTTTGGCCTCGAAATAAAGTTCCGATCATAAAAACCCCGGCAGACAGTTTGTTTGTTTGTGTTTGGAAATTTATATCAAAACTTCATTAAGTAAAATTAATCCTACGTCATAAAAAATTACGACATTACGCTAAAAACAACACTCATACCAAACAGACTAAACTTCGAGAAATAAAATCACTAGAGTAAATTTTCCAAATAACTTCTAGATCACTTACCTCAATATTAAATTGCCGATGAATTTACAGATGACTATTATGTCCTCAGAGGGGGCTATCAACGCTAATCTGGCTAATCTCTTGGCGAAGGCGGCTACCAAATTCTCCGGCAGATGTGTCGAACTAAGAAACAAATCGGACAAAAAGAACAGCCTGGCCTTGTACTTGGTGTGAAAGATTTCCGGCTCGAACATGGAATACAGCTTGACGAAGATGTTGGGGTAGTTCAGGTTGTGCGTTTGAATCAAGTTGAATAAACCTTGCAGGGCTAGGAGGCTGACGGGTCCTCCGACGTCCAGAGAGTCCATGAGAAAGTCAGTGAGGAGAAGGGGTTTTTCTAAGTGGGGTAACACTTTCTCGAGCATGACTATCAGTAACTGTTTGTGGGTGTGGGGGGTGTGCTCCCACAGCATGACGCAGTGCCAGATCTTGTTGAGGCATTTGATTGTCACGGTTTCATCGAACGTAAAAAACGAACCTAAAAATAGAGTTTCCCGTTGTCCGATACGGTATCGACATTTGATTTTATCACTTACCTTCCTCTGTCCCGCACAAAATGTTAGTTTCACTGTTCTGATATACTTGGAGCTTCTCCAACAGCAACAGGTAATTCATAATGTACACATCGTTGGGGTTGGACTTTGCTGTTAGAGATGGCAACACTTTCCAGGTAAAGAACAAAATGTCATCGAATAGGAGGTACTCTGTATATTTATTGATAAGCTGGGAGTTGATCTGTTTATTCGAAAGAATCTTCATCAACAGAGATTTCAATTTTGGTAACGGAACGTAGTTGTCCAAGGATCCCTTTACTTCTAATGGAAATCTCCCTTCTTGCGATAAAATATTCATTGCAGTAGATAATCCTAAAAGCAATTGCACGGTATTAATATAAACAGATATATAAGAATATCATCGTTCGCTCTTACCTTGCACTTGAATCTTATGTGAGGTATTCTCTAGGCTCTGTAAAATTTTAGTGTAACATTCTTCATAAGCACTTTTCAACCATTCTTTGTATTGGTTTTCTGGCGTCTTCTCCACCGGCTTCAGAGGCACTACTTCAATGAACATCTCCCTTTCTTTTAACAAAGTGGTGAATATCAATTCCAGCGCAAGTAAACAAGATAGCTGATCCGCCCCACACTCTAAATGGTTCACGATCTGAGCCAGACACTCCGAATTCTTCTTGGAGGACAAGAATTCTTGCGCCTTCATCCTTAGCTGCTTAGATATCTTCATCGGCTTTTCCAGTTGGGACATTTTACTGGCAAAAATACGCAGTTAAAGGATGACCTCCAAGAAGTGAGGTTATGACAAGCAAAGTAGGCAGGGTTTTAGGGTTTTTGTTTGTTTTCGCGTTGGCAACGTGTAGTTTGCATTTATTGATCACTGCCTAGGAGTACGAATTCGGAATGGCTAAAGATGGGCATTGGGCTTATAGGCATAATCAAGGTTCAGAAGTCACGAAGACGAGGAATTCGAGATAGTGGCTGAGCGCGCGGCCCGACGCGTCGACAGAGAGCCAGACAATGACATAATCCCTCCCGCAACACCTGACGAACTAAGACTGACAATACGCAGACTTAAAAACAGAAAAGCCCCCGGACCCGACAATATACATAACACGACACTTAAACGACTACCACACAAGGGCCTCATGGCCCTACTAAACATAACAAACGCGACACTCAGACTAAGACACTTCCCTACCCGCTGGAAAACAGCAAACATAATCCTTATCCCAAAACCCAACAAAGATCACACCATCCCATCCAACTACCGGCCCATTAGCCTGCTCCCGGCTATGAGCAAAGTGGTAGAAAAAATTATCCTAACCCGTCTAAGAACCCACTCCCAAGAACTGCAAGTCATTCCAGACGAGCAGTTCGCCTTCCGACCCAATCACTCCACTGAACTCCAAATCCTTCGCCTTACCGAGCACATCACGGCGGCCTTCAACAGGGGACAGTACACTGGTGCTGTCTTCCTGGACGTCGCAAAGGCCTTCGATACGGTTTGGCATGAAGGCCTACTGATGAAAATGCTCACCAACCAATATCCCATATCCTTTACCAAACTCATAAAATCCTACCTACACCACCGAAAATTCCGCATCCAAATCCAAGATTCCCTTTCCACCACCCGTCCCATGGAGGCCGGTGTCCCCCAGGGCACCGTCCTGTCCCCACACCTATACACCATTTACAACTCCGACATCCCACATCCCCCCAACACCAACATATACTTATACGCCGACGACCTGACAATCACATCCCAATCCGTAGATCCTAGATATTCCGTCTCCCTCCTCCAAAACTCCTTAGACCAACTTGAAACCTGGTGCAACAGGTGGAAAGTCAAAATTAATCCCAACAAAAGTTCGGCTATCCTTTTTACCAAACGAAAAATCCCACAAAACCTCGACAGACTGACACTATCCCAGGAACCCATCTCCTGGAATCGACAAACACGATACCTGGGCGTGACGATGGACCAGCGTCTCACGTGGAAACCGCACATCGTGGAGACGGTGGCGCGAGCGAAGACCACCAGGGCTAGGCTCTATCCCTTACTCAAAGGTGGAAACACCCTCAGTTTAAGGAATAAGCGAACGCTTATCAAGGTGGTACTTCAACCGCAGCTAACCTACGCCTCCACGGCGTGGGGTCACGCGGCAAAAAGCCACTTAAAGTCATTACAGGCTGTGGAAAACATAGCCCTCCGCACGGCCACCGACGCGCCCTGGTACGTAAGAAACACTGACATATTACGAGACTTACAATACACAAACGCTACACAGACAATAAGACAAAACGCGGAGAAACGATTTGACGTAGCCGCTAGACATGACAATCCCCTCCTCAGGCAAGCCGTTGACTACGTACCCGACGTGACCGACAAACACAAAAGACCTAGACACCAACTTTTTGACCCTGGGTGACCACCCCAATGACCCCCCCCCTGCCCGCTAACCTTTTCTGTTTCAGAGACAGCCAGGATCAAGAAACGAAGACAACGACACACACACACACACACACACACCCCATACCCTCCTTAACCCTCCCCTCCCGCGCTAGCCTAAGGGCCACCTTAGCAAAGCGCATCCCAGGCTGCATAGCCGCACTACCCTACCCAACCATACCACACATAAACATGACACTACCCCCGGGGTTTACACAGACGAGCCGGCGAAGCAAGAAGAGCGCCAGAAGAAAGGGCCCTAGCCGGCGGGGCCCAGCCAGGACAAAAGGAGGTCCCACAAAGCGCCTACACCGGCCGCATTTGCGGTCGGGGTAGACGACGGATGGGGCCCACCTACGAAGGCTGTCCAGGCCTACACGAGATGAGGCAGGATAAAGAGGGATAATCCCCCTCGATCCCAAATCATTGAGGCCAATTTCTAGCCATAGAATAATGGCGGTTCAGAAGTCAGGGGCCGGAGGGACTAGCAGTGGCGTCATTAAGCTCACGAATCTAGGTTTGTGAATAAGTTGAACAAAGTAACAATCTGTTTTTTTAGGAATAATAGCATGTGTCCCCCTAATTTGAAATTATTCTTTTATTATAGCACGCGATTGCATATTGCTAGAGAGAGATAGCATATTTCCTCCTATACCTCTCTCTGTCTAAACCTCCGGTACACTCGGCCACTGAGACGCTGCCTCCAATAGTAACGAGCGTTCAAATAAAAACGTGGTCAAGTTGGTTCTGAAAATTTGGACGTAGGGCGTAGCGTATAGCAAACACATACTTCTATCCTACTATATATACTATATCTACTATATAGAAGTATGTGATAGCAAATGAACTTAAACGTCATCTGTCAAAGCGCTATATCGCCGCTTTGTTATTGAAACTGACAGCTGCTATACAGCTCGTTGAGAAATGAGGTTAAGTTGGTCGCTATAAGCTACGCCCTACGTCCAATGTGTCAGAGCCAACTTCGACCACGTTTTTATTTGAACGCTCGTTATATGCTCTAATAGGCCCCATACACGATCAAACAATTTACGCAAACTTTTGTTGTATGTACGTAAAAGACCTAAATCGTAAGAATGATTCCATTATAGTTAACTCTGACGTCAACAAATGCACATGCGAAGAGTCTCGAAGCAAATTGAATTGCCTGTCTGTAGGCACAATTTTACTTGCGTAGGTCTAGAAATGGGTACTTCACATGTAAAATAAAACAGTGGCGGCTGTTGAAAATTAAAGTGATGGTATTTTGATAATGAAGCATGAGACAACTACTTTTATAACAAAATTCAAATCAAATTTGCGAAATAAAAGAAGTTGCCCATACATATTTGTTCAAAGCATTATTTTGTTTTCATACATAATCAACTGATGGATGCAAACAGTTAGCTTCATTCATTTTTGGCAAAATTAAATTTTCTTTGTAGTTGTATCAAATCTATTTAAATTTTAATTTGATTCTATTTTTTAAATTTCATAGTGCTGTGTAACTTTACAAAAAATTGAAATTTTGAGAAAAATTAAAAAAACACGACTCTACCTGTCAGTTGATTACAGAAAAAAATATTTAGCAAACACGTGTAACCTTTTTCGACATCCCAGAAGAAAAACCCCTAAAAATTATATGACCATTTTAATTTACACCCACTGGACATAAATAACAAATAAAAATTAATTTTTGAACAATTTAAAATAATACTACATTCTATATAAACTAGGTTTCAGTTAATCTCAGCTATTAGCTATTCTATTACCCTTGATACAAACAGATTTCATATGAATAAAATACAGCTATTGTTTCTTTGATTTATATAATTAACAGGGAACGGGGTGTATTTTAATTCGATTGCCAACTTTCCAAAGGGTGCCCATTAGTCAAATTTAAGGCAGAAAGTACTGGTGGCGGAACGCTCTCGGCAGTCCTGGCCAAATTAAAAATTATATGTGTAAGAAAGATATTTATTTATTATCTTCAAAATTCTCTTGATATGAATGGAGTTGATATACAGAGTGAGTGTTTAGTGCGTATTTCCTCCGTAGCGTTCGTTCCTTATAATATGCAACAAAATTTGAGGGTACAAGGTTTTTCCGCCATATTTTTGCATATTTTAAAAATATTGATGAATATACGGGGATGGGGTGTTGCATTTTCGCTGTACACGGACCAACTTTCTTATTTTAAATGGAACACCCTATTTTTTTTACAATATTCTGATAAAGCAAAAAATTCTGAATTCAAAACATATAATCTACCCTATACCTATAACTCTAGCGGTTTAGGAGATATTTTATATTTTTTTTTTTATAAAAAATGACAGCCGCAGAGGTTGGTTGACACCTTTGTAACTTCTTTCATTTAGCAATGTAGGCATTTAATTTTTGACCCACGTAAAGATTGTAAATGCATCTACCTTTTGCAACTTGCAACGAAACAAACTGATCGCCCTTCCAACGTATGGACAGATATTCCAATGTCCTTGTCAGTGTGTTGGCCAGCATGTTCCAACGCATTGGCCAACGTGTAGAGGAGCCATTAGTGAAACTATATTAATGGGATATTTCCAAAACTGGCATATTACCTTTTATCACTTTAAAGAAATATTTATAACTTTTGGTAATTTATATTTTTTATATATCTTTTAGTTAGAATCATTCAGCCCTAACACATTGTGGACAAAGTATTCAATGTTCAAGACCACATTATTAGTGTGCAGAAAAGTAAATATGTATAGGAAAATATCATCGATTAGAGGCTCATTTGAAGCAAATATCGAAAGGATATATTCCAAAAAACCTTATGGGAAATGGCTCCCGGTTAAATTGGCTGAATTTTTTATATGTTACGTATCTCGGCGTCCTGAACAAATGTCTTCATGGGCACAAAGTCCAAAACTCCACGGGTACCGAGATAAACCCACCTAACCCCTAGAAACCACCCCTACCAAACCACAAGCAGACCCTGGAAACAGCGAGTTTAATCGCTGATTTTTCTTGAAATAATTAAATACCACACTATAAGCGGGCTAACATGCCTACCCTCTATCCCACCTAACCCCTAGGACCACCCCTACCAAACCACAATCAGGTTAATTTAATTCTCCTAATCCTCGGAACAGCGAATTTAGTCGATTATAACTGTTTCCAGGGTCAGGTGGGTTAGCCTATTTGTGGTTTGGTAGGGGTGGTTTCTCTCTCCAATTGTATCGATAGTATATATCTTTGTGACCAAAAGAAATTAAAGAACGACGTTTTTTTCTGATATATCGGAATGGTCCATGTGCTGCACAACCAGTGGGCAAAAATACCTTCGATAGCATACCAACTAGGATTGCAAAATATCTCGATTACGTAGATGGTAAAATGTAAACAGGTCATCGGCAACTCTTCTCGTAGATACAGATAGCATAACCTCTAAGAACAAAATATCTCGTTTAATAGCTGGAGTCTAAAGAACCGAGTGATTATTAATTTAAAGCAATTTATTGTTATACAGGGTGTCCCGTTTATGTTTCAAAAAAACTTGTGTGCAAGTTCCTCGTGAAAAAATAATAGGGGTAGTTCATGTAGTTTTTTTCTTTATATCCACGGAGATTTTTGGCTTTTTGGCTTTCAAATATCACTAGAAATGAAAATTTTTCTATGCGCATAAAAAAAAACGTGGGCTTAACATTTGGCGGCCCAATATGTTACAAAAATTCGTAAAATGTCATATTTTTCTTCCTATTTAATTATGTATTTTTTCAAGAGTTGATTTTAGGCGAAAATGGAAGAGGAAAAAAATGTTTGTAATTAAATTTTACAAAATATGACTAGTTACAAGTCGATTGAATCATGATTATTATTGAAAAAATCGCCAAAAATTGGGTTAAAAAACATTATTTTTTAGGGAATTTTTTGGTGTCTTTAAGTTGGGTATAGGCCCTTCATATTTGGCTCAAGAAAAGTTCATGTTATGTAGAATCATCACATCAAATTTCATCAAAATCGGTTCGATAGATTTTGCATAAAAATTTTGCAATTCATATTTAAAAAAAAATTTGACAAATTTTCAAAATTTTACACAGCAAAAACCAAGGCTCTTAGATACTTGAATTTAATCACATATAGAAGGGCTCTCAAGCTTTCAAACGCTTTTTGAAAAATTCAAATCCATTAATTAGGAGAGCTCTGACACTTGTTTAAATATTGGTCGAATTTTTGTACTCACAAACAATTAGAATAACTGTGAAAATTCAATCAAACCAAATTTTTTTAAGCTGGTTTTAAGTTATTGGAAAAATGCTTCTTTAAAAAAAACAGATCAGTTGATCAATTAGTTACGTAATTATAGCCGATCAAAGTTAACCGTCATTTACACTAAATGTACTGGGACATCCGGGCAAATTTTCGAAAAATACCTTTGGTATTCCGAGTTCTTATCAGGTCTAAGTTTGCAATACTTTTCTTCATTGGCAACCTACTTTAAAACACGTTTAAAGTTATTTATGCAAGCGAGAAATTCAAGAAAATCGTACGGGTGGTGGTGGTGGGGCAGAGCAGAGAGCGTGGCCGCTTCGGCCTGCTCGAAATTCAATCGGCGAGTTCAAAACCGTGAATCGATGTCTTGCGATTAAAAAAAACAATCAGCGTATTTTCAAATGCCTATCGTTAATAATTATTGGTCTTTCAATAGTCCGATAATTATTTATCTTTAAACTTCCTTTAATTATCAACTTTATTTTTTTATTGTATCAAAGGTAAGTGCATAAACTTATATACTGTTTATCAAAGATCAAAAACAAATTTATTTAAATATTCTAAAATTGTTTAAACAACAATTATTTTCAAAATATGTTGAAAATTAGTAATTAATTAATTAATTAATTAATTATTAACTTAATCATCATTTCTTTTGTGATTAAAGTATAATTCAAATATTATTTACTGTTTAAAATATAAGCAAATCAGAAATTAACTCATTATAATACACAAATACAAAATTATAGTACAAAATTCGACCAATGTTTAAACAAGCGCCAGAGCTCTCATAATTGACGGATTCGAATTTTTCAAAAAGCGTTTGAAACCTTGTTGAGAGCCCTTCTATATGTGATTAAATTTTCAAGTATCTAAGGGCCTTGGTTTTTGCTGAGCAAAATTTTGAAAATTTGCAAACTTTTTTTAATTGTGTAAGTACTTGTTACAGTAACACCAATAAACTATTATTATTATTAAAATCTGGATTGCAAAATTATTATGCAAAATCTATCAACCGATTTTGATGAAATTTGGTGTGATGATTCTACATAACTTGAGCCAAGTATGAAGGTCCTATATCCAACTTAAAGACGCCAAAAAAATTCCCTAAAAAGTAATGTTTTTTAATCCCAATTTTGGCGATTTTTTCGATTTTTACAAAAATAATCATGATCCATTTGATTTGTAACTAGTCATATTTTGGAAAATTTAACTAAAACATTTTTTTCCTCTTCCATTTTCGCCTAAAATCAACTCTTGAGAAAAAATAGGAAGGAAAATATGACATTTTCGAATTTTTTTAACATATTGTGCCGCCAAAAGTTAAGCCCACGTTTTTTTATGTGCATAGAAAAATTTTCATTTCTAGTGATAATTGAAAGCCAAAAATCTCCGTGGATATATGATTCACCCAAATATGGACTCTTTGAAACAGATACTGGACTATAAACAGATTATGGTAATTAATTATCTATTAATAACTAATTTTAGATTTTGTAAACCACTACACTACCATTACTAAAATAAACAATTGTTGAATGGACTGAATTGTTGATGGACATGAATGCTTAAAAAAAGTGATAAAAACAGAAAAATATTAGGAAACAGATTCGGAGACATATGAACCAAACAGCTGCACAATTAAATAAATGAGCAAAACTCGAAATACTACAGTCGATGCTGAAATTGTCCCCATTTGCTTCTATGCAACTTAATTTTTCTCGAAAATGGTACATGCTATCGAATTTCGACAAGTATACCTTTTTTTTGTAGTACGCTTTAGAATTTACAGAACCGCTTAGAAATGTAATAAATTTTGACTTTTAACATATATTTTTTTTCGACTGTACCCCTTATTATCTTTATCGGCGACACTGCTTTTCAGAAAGAAACCGTTTGCACACACACAGTTGATGTTTACTCGTGTAAAAATTTCGACATTTTTATCTTTAACCAATTTAAGATAATTAAGGAAAACCATTTGGAAAGTGACAACTTCAACACACTGTATCTCGAAAAAAGGGCGTCAAAGAAAAAAACTTTACATGAACTACCCCTATTATTTTTCCACGAGGAAATTGCGCACAAGTTTTTTTGAAACATGAACGGGACACCCTGTATATCAAATATTAATGTTAATAAACTTTGTACTTTCATTTTTCTACTTCATTTATACAAGGCACATTTACTATTCTACCTTTGCACAAAAGAAGGGTACAAAATAGGGTAAAAATGGGGGCGAAAATATTTAGGTGAAATGACATCTTCCTAGTTCTAGTAGTCTCTTCCTATTTCTAGTAGTAAACAAGCGTTAGTGAAAAATAAAAACATTTTATTCAATGAAACGACCCACAACGTAAAAACAGTATTTATTAGGAAGATCTTTACAGTAATCATATTAAATTCCAGAAAACTCGAACAAAAAGATGATTATATGAATCGATTAGAAAAAAATAGTTTTATTGGCATCCAACACTTAAGCTACATTATTAAACCTCTAAATACATGAGCACATATAGAAACATTTTTGGTTTCAAACTCCTATTTACAATTAGTAAATACACGTTAATATTGAGAATAGAAGTGAAAAATACTCTTATAATTAGCGTCCTAATACATTGTACCTAAAAACGTGGCTTGTGTGCTAGTTTTTAGAATTCCTAAGCACTATGAATCACATATAAATAAGTTTCCGAGTAATATAATAAAAAAATATGCATAGTTAAGGAAATACAATGGAAAATTTCAATAAATAACTTCCCAGACAAAAGACGACATGTACTTAATACAAAACTGATTTCAATCGACTTGAAAAATTAATCTTATTATATAAATGTGTACAGAATTACTGTACCACAAAATGTTTGTACAAAAAGTAGTCTAAAATTAAACTTTTTAAGCCGGTAGCTGAAGCTTCTTCCCTTTGAGAACTGGAACGAAAATAGTATTAAACGTATTTCCTTTTTTTTTTTATAACCTATCCTAAAGAAATATTTAAGAATTTTATTAACACCTACCTCTAGTAATATACAGATAAAAGAAGTCGCAATACAACACGGTCTGAACAATTCCTGCAACGATGGCGATGAGGTCGTAATGACTTTCAGTGACGTAGCGGTAGATCCAGTTAAAAATATACAGGGCCCGATAGGAGCCAAGAGCAAACAGATAATGGGAGGTGATGCTTTCCGCCTCACCCGTCTTACTGACCATGAACAGTTGCGGCAGAATAGCCACCGACTCCAAATAAATACTGAAAGTCCACAAAATCTGAAAAAGAACGAGTCAATATAACTTTGTGTTTGCGAAGCGGGGATTTACTTCCAAACCCACAACAGTGTCAACTTTTAGCGCTCACCTCGAGGACTGTAAAGTCGTGGTTGATCAACAAGGCCAACGCTACCGCGGGCAGTATCAGAAGAATGATCCTAAAGGTGTCCTGATTACGGTCGTACGTAGCTTTGAATTTTATGTAAATTAAGTAAATGGTAGCGTACGAAGTAGCCAGGAAAATAAACTTCATAAAAGTGTTGTACAATGATACATAGGACGTTACCAAGTCAAGGTACCTAGTGGTGTAGACCAGGGCAAATAGTATTTGGCTTTTTCCGGAGATACCTACAAACAATTTAGTATCATAGGCATATTTTTAACAATTAGGTCACCAAGAATGGCAAGATAATCTTTTATAGCTTCCGCAATGTTTGTGTTATCAAGTTTATGTCACTGGAATGATGTTCAAGTGAAAACGGTACGGTACTCGAAGTATGATTCGTTGACGTGGAAGGTTATGTACACAAATTTTTTTGACAAGTACAAGGAAATTTTTAAGAAAATGGGAAACTTTTGTGGTCGAATCAATCTTCACTTTGTACACATTAAACACTGTTAACACTAGAAATAACATGACTGAATAACATAAATGCAAACAAATACAAAAAAATGTGTATTGGAAAACCGGCGAAAAACTGGCTGTACAGAAAAATTAGGCTTACCTGCGCACGATCTGGTATGCCATATCTTCTGTAAAAGGATTATTATAGCTATTAAGTGAGCTAAATCTCCGGTAAGCCTAAAAGCATTCATGGTTCAAGCCTTTTTGTTTGAGTCTGATGTACAATAACCGATTTTTAAGTGACGTGGCTGTACTCGATAGGTTGACACCAGATGGCAGTCCAACGCTGACTGGCAACAAATATCGCCAACATTGCCAATAATAGCATGGCTACCAACATAGTACCTACGTTGATTTGAAAATAAATTCCAAGAATTTTATCATATTATGAGTAAATTTAGTTACTTATATGAATTTTATTATGCAAGGTGCAAGCAGGACTAGCAGGAGTATATTAATTGCTACTCAACAGCACTAAATCATGCAGCATAAATTTCGAGATTTTGAAAAGATACAAAAGGACCTACAGTCTACAGTCGTTTTATTTTGTGATTTGGCGAATATAAGCAACCAAGAAATGGGTCCGTGTCTTGTTAGATTCCTACTAGATAGCGTAGCTTATAAAGCAATGCTGTACAAAATCCATATGTAATACTACTACTACTGTTATGTAATATGTAGTATTATATAAATGACAAAATCAGTGGTTAGATTAATATCCTGATAAACAAGGTTAATAGAGTTTAGGCCTTGTTTCCATAAACATTAAACAAGGATTTAGCAAAATTCACAGTGGGTGCTTAGATTAATGCTTAGATTAGGAAAGAGAAAGAGAGTTCCTAATCTAAGGCACAGCATAAATATTTATTTTGCTGTGTCTAAGGATTAATGTCTTCGTCTTTGTTATTCTTATTGTGATTTTAAAGAGAGAGAGAGAGAGAGAGAGAGAATGCTACTTCTAGATCACTAGAAGTTAATTGTCCTAAACCCCTACTGTGTATTAAAATAATATAATAGATATCGCTCCATTCTTTTTTCTCGCGAATACGTGATTTGATATCCTAATTGCTTCATTTAATTGAAAAAAGCGGTGTTGTTAGTCAAAAATAAATAAATTTACATTTTTCTTATCTATAAAATAGGTATCCGAGAATACCTAAACTAACAATGCAGGAATCACCTCATGGACTTGGTTTTCTATTTCCTTAAAAAAAAGAGGACAAAAGTCACTCATATATATATTCTGTTTATTTATTAATGTTGTAATTTATATTTACGTGTGTTCTTTAATTTCAAAAAATTAGGCATAGGTACCTATACGCAATGAAAAATCAGAGTAGTTACTCTGCGTTATTCATTTGTTTGTAAACAGTATTGCCTACCCTAACCTCCATCTTCACATTTTCGGCTTGCGGCGCTGCGCGTTACATTATTCAAAGTGAAAAGTGGATGCGTTTTATTTAATTATATAACTATTTTATTTCAATAGGTATGGCGTGTTCGCTTGAGACATTTAATATGTTATTGTGTTGTGTGATGCGAGCCAATCTCGAGATCGTGTCCTCTGCTTTTACGTGTGGAAGGTCGGAAATAAGACACGAAAGCTACACTTAAAAAATAAAAGGGAAGTGCAAAATGCAATCACAATTTTTACTTAGTTATCACAAAAAGAAACAACTCGTAGTTTACATATTTATTTGGAAGCCAAGGGTCTGTCTAACGGGGCTCCTTTTGGTAATCGCTGTCGTCAGCGTCGAATTATCTTAGGGAAGCCGCAAACAAAATTTAAAGATGTCGCCCAAACCGCTAAAATCATAGATAGCGTCATAGGCATAGAATAAACAACAATTAATTTTGAATTTTAATAATAACTACTACCGTATTGTTAACAACTGTTAGCGATTTCTTTCTCTAAAAATTATTTTCATAAAATAAAAATAGTTATTTGAAAAAAACACCCAAGAAGAATGTAATCTTTTCAAAGTCAATTTTTGATCTTTAAAATTAACAAAATACTAAAAATTATTTAATAACATGGTAATACAACTCTTTACGAAGAAAATAAATCGGACATTGTTACTGTAGGATCATCCGTTGAGAAGATCTAGATAATTTTTGGAGAGCGTCTTTTTTCAAAGTATCGATATATCTCTAATTATTAATATATTTCAATTTTTCAAAAATGTACTTTTTTGGCTTGCCGCGGGCTATATCGACGATATCCAACTGTTTTGCTTTTCAAATATGGTATTAGTTTTGGAAATTTTATGTTATTTACATTTTTTTGAATTCAGGGGACTCCTGAAATCTCGATGTCGTTTTATCGATATCGAGATAATTGCGAAACCAATCTCGATCGATTCGACTCGAAATGTAAATTGGTACTCTTGAAGCACATCGATATAGTCCTCGGATAAGTTCGGCAAATTTGGGGTAATGTTGTATACCACCACGGTTAAGGCAACTGAGTGATATATTTATTTCTGTCTAACATATACTTATTTCGGCTATCTATCTCTTTTTGTCCGGCGGCGGCGTCACGCAGTTTATTTAAATTTTAAAATGAATACCTACCTATCATCAAATAAATAAACAGAAGTTTATAAAATTATTTATTTGGTCTAAACAGTAAACCATGAAAGTTGATTTAAATGTACTTTATATTTAAAGGTTTTATGCGTACATACTCAACAAATTATTGATATTCCACATCCTAATTTTTTATTCGGTTTGAAATAAAAAACATAAAATACTACCTGTGATTATAATTATTGTTGAACAATTAGAGCGACGAGAAGCATTTAGGAATGAAAATATTTGGAGAAGACAGTTCAATGGATCCATTATAATCTTTACCGGACAAAAAATTTGTGTAATTATTTCGCTTACATAAAAATATTATATGTAATTTAATTATGTCTATTGTTTGACATTTAAAAGAAGTAAAAAGAACTTCGGAAACTATTCAATTCAACATTAAATTATTTTGTGCTTTCTGGTTTTATGCACGGTGAACATCACTGGAATGAGTAGACTTTCTTGCTTCAAGTCAACAAACTATTAATAGAGGTATAAAGAAAGTCACATATAAGTTATTTATTAAAACCTCTCCAACAATTGGATAAAATTTTCACCATTATAGAAAAATATTCCGGTAAATACACACTCATGACAAGAAAAAGATTTGTAATATTATGCAGTATTTATATTTATTTAATGCATAATAAGAAACAGAAAAGGTATCATTCAAAAACTGTTCAAATAGTTGTAGATAAATAGAAACCAAGGATTTTATACAAGTCCTTGT